TGAATAAAACCCAGGCGGGGATTTGGGTTGCTGGTACATCATAACCGGTAAACGTGTAACCAAATTATAATGGCCATTACTATCATATACACTACTTGGTTTACCGGATACAATACTTCTAATGGTTGATGTAGAGGTCCCTGGATCACTGTTGGGCATTCTCATTTCACATCTTTGCAGTGCTGCGAATGCGAGCCACAAGGAGACGTTCGTCCTTCCTCTATTTTGATTCTGTGACAAAGACTTGCCTGCCCCTCCTTTGAGGTGGCGTTCCAACAATGTTTTGTTACAATACTCTGGTGGTTCCTACTCTGTCTTAAGGACTAGGGAGGCAAGCTATAATTTCTGGTGTATGGTATAATTTTTCAGTCCTAGTTAATACTATTTTATTAAGTATAAACACTCGACTGTTGTTTTAAAGAATACTTTTGGAGTTTAAATATATGTGTGTGAATAGACGTCTTGTTGTGTTGATGTCACGAAAAACTCCCATTTTCCTTAAATTAGTAATGGCTAACTATAAAATGTTGATATATGTGTCGGATTTCCGACATAATTCTGGGGAGGAGGGTGAAATACGAGTCGAAGTCCCGGTAAGGACTGTGAACACTTCATTCCTCGCTCTCAAAATTATAGTTTCATTAATTTGAGCTTGCACTGTCGTGCAGCAGTCTGTTCTGGACGTATGTGCCGTATTGGTGTTTCGGGTGATGGAAGTCATTGGGCGTCTTCTTTTCCTATCAGTTATAAAGTAAATAATTTCTCTAATGTTTTAAGAGTAGTGTTGCCTCAGCACTTTACTATCACTATTCTCAAGATGCCCTGACGGTCTGGATGAACAGAGACTATTTGGCCTTTCACTGATAAGGAAGGACTGGAGTTTTGATGGAAATTCCTGGCAGTGCCGGGTTCAGAGATTACATAACAGGAACTATAACAATTCGAGGACCTAAGATAATAGTAGCAGTCATTTACAACCCTCCCCTAATTGACAAAAGACCCAGACAGGTGTTTGATAGGAACAACATGGCAACCAGTAATATAATAGAGAGAGCAACTTCAATTTCCTGCAGGAATGACTCAAGACTCTTAATCATGGGCGATTTTAAACATGGAAAAATGCACTGGGAGAATGGGGACCCATATAGTTGTGCAGATACATGAAGAGCCAAACTCTTGGAAGTGGCAACAAGGAACTTTCTGAGCCAGTATGTCAAGGAACCTACAAGAATGAGAGGCAATGACGAACAGCTAGACTCGACCTGATATTCACTCTGAATGAGTCACAAATTAGGGATGTCAAAGTTGAAGCGTCCATAGGATTGAGTGACCACAGTGTATTAACATTTGAGTACTTGGTGGAGGTATGGATAACCTATCCAAGGATGGAATCGGAAGGGAAAAGACTAAATTACTGGAGAGGAAAATATGACGAGATGAGGAACTTCCTAAGGGGACTACCATGGGAAACAGAACTTAGAGACAAGACTGTACAGGATATGATGGATTATGTCACCCAGAAGTGCTAGGAAGCTGCAGACAGGTTTATCCAGGTTCAAAAGGAGAAAAACGAAAAGCAACAGAAGAATCCATGGTTCAACCAGGAATGTAAGGTAGCAAAACAACTGAATAAAAGCACATGGAGAAACTACAGAAATAACAGAACACCAGAGAGCAGGGAGAGATACCAGAGGGCCAGAAATGAGTGCCTCAGAGTGAGGAGGGAAGCATAAAGACAGTATGAAAATTACATCGTGAGTAAAGTCAAGACCCAACCAAAACTGCTGCACAGTCACATCAGGAGGAAAACAGCAGTGAAGGAACAAGTGATGAAACTGAGAAAAGGGGGGAACAGGCACACAGAGAATGACAAGGAGGTGTGTGAAGAACTCGACAAGAAATTCCAAGAGGTCTTCACAAAAGAATAAGGAGAAGCCTCTGAAATAAATGAGGAGGAGGTAAACCAAGCAACCTTTGAGGAATTTAACGTCACCAGTGATGAAGTCAAAAGGAATCTGATGGAGCTGAATGTGACAAAGGCTGTTGTGCCTGACAGAATCTCATCATGGATTCTAAAGGAAGGTGCAGAAGTACTAAGTATGCAACTTTCTACTCTCTATGGTGTATAACAGGTCACTGGAAACAGGAGACCTACCGGAAAGTTTGAAGACAGCTAACGTGGTCCCAATATACAAAGAGGGTGACAAGTAGGAAGCGCTGAATTACAGGTCAGTTTCCCTAACTTGTATACCATGCAAGGTGATGGAGAAGATCGTGAGGAAAAAGCTCGTAGAGCATCTGGAGGGAAATAGCTTTGTAACACACCACCAACATGGGTTCAGAGATGGTAAATCGTGCCTCACAGGTTTAATAGAATTCTATGACTGGGCAAAAAAAATTAGGCACGAAAGAGAAGGGTGCGCAGACTGCATTTTCTTGGACTGCCAGAAAGTCTTTGATGCAGTACCTCATAAAAAGCTGTTAAAAAAGTTGGAGCAACAGGCAGGAGTAAAAGGGAAGGTGCTCCAGTGGATAAGGGAGTATTTAAGCAACAGGAAACAGCGAGTAACTGGGAGGGGGAGACATCAGAGTGTCGAGATGTCACCAACGGAGTCCCTCAAGGCTCTGTACTTGGACCCATCTTGTTTCTTATATATGTAAACGATCTTCCAGAGGGTATCGACTCATTCTTCTCAATGTTTGCTGATGATGCAAAAATTATGAGTAAATCAAGACAGATGATGATAGACAGAGACTACAGGACGACCTGGACAGGCTGGAGGAATGGTCTAGAAAATGGCTATTAAAGTTCAACTCAGGAAAGTGCAGAGTAATGAAATTAGGGGAAAGGAACAGAAGGCTGAACACAAGGTACCATCTGGGAGATGAAATCCTACAAGAGTCTATTTGAGAGAAATATCTGGGGGTTGATATCACACCGAACCTGTCCCCTGAGGCCCACATAAAAAAGATATCATCAGCGGCATTTGCTAGACTGGCCGATATAAGAACTGCCTTTAGAAGCTTATGTAAGGAATCGTTCAGGACTCTGTATACCACTTATGTCAGACCAATCCTGGAATATGCAGCTCCAGCTTAGAGTCCATACTTGGTTACACAAGACAAAGTTAGGGAAGATTCAGCGGTGTGCCACCTGACTCGTTCCGGGTATGAGCTACGAGGAATGAGCTACGAGGTATGAGCTACGAGGAAAGGCTAAAGGAGCTGAAACTCACGTCCCTGGAAGACAAGAGAGTAAAGGGAGACATGATAACCACCTACAAAATTCTCAGGGGGAACTGACAAGGTGGACAAATACAAATTCTTTAGCGTTGATGGAACACGAACAAGTGGGTACAGGTGGAAACTTAGTACCCAGATGAGCCACAGAGACATTAGAAAGAATCTGTTCAGCGTCAGTGTAGTTAGTAAATGGAATGCATTAGGCAGAGATATGATGGAGGCTAACTCCATACACAGTTTCAAATGTAGATATGATAGAGCACAGTAGGCTCAGGAATATGTACACCAGTTGATTGACAGTTGAGAGGCGGGACCAAAGAGCCAAAGCTCAACCCCCGCAAGCACAAATAGGTGAGTACAAATAGATGAGTGCTGACTCACACATAAGGAGATGGAATAGAATGGGGAAGCCACAGGCTTTGGCTCTTTATTCTCAATAGCTTTTAAAGGTTGGGGAACCCTTTACCAGCAGGCCAGGATCCCCAGAGAGGATTGTAACAGAAGCCACCCACCATCTCATCCCACAACATTCCTCCACAACCACCACCTATGCTTTCCCAGCCCTTAGTGGCCCTCTCCAGCCTATGCCCTCCCTGTTCCTTTACCCAACCCCCTCCTTCCCTGTTCCCCACCTATATATCAGTTCCCCACCCCTTCCCAGTACCCCAACTCAATGCTTCCCCTGTTGCCAACCCAATTTCCTACCTATTTCGCCACCCCCATGCCCTCCCTGCTCCCCCACCCAAATCCCAAACCATTCCAGCCCATCTTTCCAGACTCTCCCAACGCCCTCCACCCTAGACTCATCAAGCCACCATTCCAGACCCCTCCCTTCCATCCAATCACAGATCCTCCCTCCCACTCTATCCCAGGGACAACGAGGGTAACTGAGGCTGGACAGAAGAGTCAGCTTCAGAGTAATGTACTCAAACACAGATGGGATGACAAACAAAACAAATGAGCTTTGGGAAAGAGGACAACATGGATGTAATAGCACTCAATAAACGTAACTGCCAGGTATTATAACAAATGCAGTGCTTCCCCAATGATTAAACTGTAATAAGGAAAGAGAGAAAGTAAGAAGGGTTGGAGGAAGAGGCATTGATAAGACATCGCTGGAATTTCAAGGAGATGGTTATCCCAGGCTGATTACATAATAACTTAGCATATAATTTGCCACTTGTTACAGGAATATATGCCTAGCATAACATTTGTGAAACAATATTATTATTATTATTATTATTGACCATAAATATACTATTTATTACTAAAATTAGGACGTAGAGTATGTTAAAATTAAGTGTACACACTGGGTCATAACACTGACGCCATGACTCACCTGGTGGTGGTAGTGCCAGTGGAGGAGCTGGGACTTACCTGGTGGTGGTAGTGCCAGTGGAGGAGCTGGGACTCACCTGGTGGTGGTAGTGCCAGTGGAGCAGCTGGGACTCACCTGGTGGTGGTAGTGCCAGTGGAGGAGCTGGGACTCACCTGGTGGTGGTAGTGCCAGTGGAGGAGCTGGGACTCACCTGGTGGTGGTAGTGGCAGTAGAGGAGCTGGGACTCACCTGGTGGTGGTAGTGCCAGTGGAGGAGCTGGGACTCACCTGGTGGTGGTAGTGCCAGTGGAGGAGCTGGGACTCACCTGGTGGTGGTAGTGCCAGTGGAGCAGCTGGGACTCACCTGGTGGTGGTAGTGCCAGTGGAGGAGCTGGGACTCACCTGGTGGTGGTAGTGCCAGTGGAGGAGCTGGGACTCACCTGGTGGTAAGAGATCCAGTGGGCGTCCCCTAGGACCATTTCGTCGTCACCCTGTGCCACTATGAATCTCACGAAGTTCGTGAAGCTCACAGAATCTGCCAACTTGACGCTAGGGACAAAAACGCTCCCGTAAGTAACTGTCCAAAACACACATATATGCTGCTTGTTGAATAATAATATCCTACAGTTTATTCATAGCTTACCACCTACCGGTACTGATTATGTACAGTAGGTAGATGACTATTCTAACGTTGTTCTTGGAGGCGAAGATCTTTAAAACACATTTTCCAGAGCATGGCTAAACATTTTGTTATATAAAGTTAGGGATGAGTACTTCACAGATTAATTCATTGGTGATTCAGTTGAGTGGCTAGAGGGTTGTGTTGGTGAGGTCCTTGGTGCGCCTGGTGGTGAAGAAACAGAACCAACACTGTCTGTGGCTGTGGCAATTATGTGTCTTCCATACATAGCGACGAGTATGTCTTCCATACATAGCGACGAGTATGTCTTCCATACATAGCGACGAGTATGTCTTCCATACATAGCGACGAGTATGTCTTCCATACATAGCGACGAGTATGTCTTCCATACATAGCGACGAGTATGTCTTCCATACATAGCGACGAGTATGTGTCTTCCATACATAGAGACTAGTATGTGTCTTCCATACATAGCGACGAGTATGTGTCTTCCGTACATAGAGACTAGTATGTGTCTTCCATACATAGCAATGAGTATGTGTCTTCCATACATAGCAATGAGTATGTGTCTTCCATACATAGCAATGAGTATGTGTCTTCCATACATATAGACGAGTATGTGTCTTCCATACATAGAGACTAGTATGTGTCTTCCAAACATAGAGAAGAGTATGTGTCTTCCAAACATAGAGACGAGTATGTGTCATCCATACACACACATACACACAAATACACCACATATGTAAGACCAATCCTGGAGTATGCGGCCCCAGCATGGAGCCCGTACCTTGTCAAGCACAAGACGAAGCTAGAAAAAGTTCAAAGGTATGCTACTAGACTAGTCCCAGAACTAAGAGGCATGAGTTATGAGGAAAGGCTGCGGGAAATGCACCTTACGACACTGGAAGACAGAGGAGTAAGGGGGGACATGATCACAACCTACAAAATCCTCAGGGGAATCGACCGGGTAAACAAGGATAAACTATTCAACACTAGCAGGACGCGAACAAGGGGACACAGGTGGAAACTGAGTACCCACATGAGCCACAGGGACGTAAGAAGAAACTTTTTCAGTGTCAGAGTAGTTAACGGATGGAATGCATCAGGCAGTGATGTGGTGGAGGCTGACTCCATACACAGTTTTAAATGTGGATATGATAGAGCCCAGTAGGCTCAGGAACCTGTGCACCAGTTGATTGACAGTTAAGAGGCAGGACCAAAGAGCCAGAGCTCAACCCCCGCAAGCACAAATAGGTGAGTACACATCATACATAGCGACGAGTATATTCCTATTTACTAACATCTAGAGGTAAACTCTAACAAGTGGCTGGCGCTCCTGGAGGGCAAAACGCTTCTTTGGTAGAGAGAGAATATAACAACTGGAGGTTCAGTGGAGGGGAGACTGACCCAGTTTACTAGTGTGGCAAGCGGGCCTCACTGGCCGTGGGTCACGAAGGCATTAGTGGATCGGATTACTGATGAACTCAGGGTTGACATTCAGACTCACCATTGGTTACCTGTATATATTCTTACCCTGTGACCGTGGCTCTGCCTTGGGTTCTTATGGCTACCCGTGTTGGGCTCTGCGGTGTATGGCGGCACAAGGAAGAGAAGCAAACTATATTTAATTTCTTTACAATCTCTTTCCTCAGCCTGTAAGACACGTGTGGCAGGCGATCAGGTCCACGAGTCGGGCCTTGTTGGACCAGGCAACGACTCGGGCCACTGTTCCCTCTTTCCTTATCACGAACCTCTCTCTGGCAGCACCGTCCTTTCTTAACCTAACTGGTCCGCCCAATTTCCGCCCCCTCCCCTCCCTCCGATCCGCCAACAACCCCCACCACCCACCACACCCCCCCCCCCCTCCCCTGCTGCCACGAATGTGATACCTGGATTGTACTTTGATGGTGGTCTGGGAGGTTTACTCCCCAATCCCGGTTCGAGTCCAGGCTTCACTTGAGAGAGCTTGGTCTTACAGGTCCACCTCAGCTCTTCAATGACTCTATTCTGCATTTCCTTCCATATTGTTCACTCCAGTATGTTGATATTTTTCTGTGTAAATTTGGGACCTGGCCCTCCAGCAGTATTTTTCATTCGCATAATATTTGATACCTCTCTCTCGTCTCCTTTCTTGGGAGTACATTTTGAGAGCTTTGAGACGGTCCCAATCGGTTAGGTGTTTTATTGTGTCAATGCGTGAAGTATATGCTTCCTGCATTCCCTCTATTTCAGCAGTCTTTCCTCCTCTGAGTGGGGAAGTGAGTATCGAGCAGTGCTGCAAACGGGACAGCACAAGTGAATTGAATAGTATAACCATTGTGATGGGATCCCTGGATCGGAAGGTTCTCGTAATCCATCTTATCATTTTTCTAGCTGAAGCATTATTTGCTTGGTTATGCTCCCTAAACTTTAGGTCGTCAAATATCATTATTCCCAAATCCTTTACCTGCTGCTTTCCTACTATGGGCAGATTTGACTTTGTTTTCTACCCTGTGTTTTGTTTAAGGTCTTAATTTTGTTACCATACATGAGTACCTGGAATTCATCACCCTAAAACATCATGCTATTTTCTGCTGCCCAAACGAAAACTTTATTAGTATCAGCTCATAGATTTTCAATATCTTCTTCAGAAGTAATTTTCATGCGAACTTTTGTGTCATCTTTAAAAGATGATACGAAGCTGAGACTTTTACTTTTGTCTATATCTCATATGAGAATAAGTAAAAGCAGTGGTGCAAAGGCACCACTGAGGTACAGTTCTGAGGATATGTACCCTGAGGTACAGAACTTTTCACTGTCCTTGAACTCAATTTTGGTTTATTGACTGTTACTCTTGCATTTTGCCTGACAGAAAATTGAATATCATTGACCTACTTTACCTGCTATTCCTGTTGACTTTAGTTTGTGGGCCATCACTCCATGGTCTCATTTATCAAATGCCTTTGCAAAGTCTAAGCATATCTCATCTGAATTCCCTTTTTTCTTCTAATGAGTAATATTTTCAGTGTTAAGGGTTGCTGCGAAAAGAATGACCATTCCACTTTAAATCCATATTGACCTGGGTTATGGAGATCTTTAATCTCCATAAAACTGTAGAGCTGACTCCTGATTACTCTCTCAATAACTTAATATTACTGATCTATAATTCTTAGCCAATGCTCTGCTCCCTCCCATGTGTAAGGGAGCTATATCTGTTGATTTAAGCACTTTTGGTGTTTTCGCTGTGTCCAACCTCTTCCTCCACTCAACACTGATTGCTTGTGCTACAGACACTTTGCATTTCTTAATAAATTGATAAATATTGAGTTCAAGCAGTCTGGACCTGTGGCTAAGTTCATGGGCATTCCGTCGATTTCTCTTATAAAATCTGCAGAGTTCGTGTTGATATCGGTTATATTTTCAAGGGTTTGGATATCACACATAAAGAAGCTATCCGGATCTTCTACTTTCATGCTGTTTATTAGGATGCTAAACATGTCCTGGTTCTACATATTTAGGAATTTATAAAAAAAAATGTCATCTTCTGTGTATGAATCTTCACTTGTAAGCAATGGTTCAATAGTGACAGATGATTTTGATGTCGATTTTACACATGATAAGAAATATTTTCTATTTTTCTTTGTATCTTGCATGGCTTTCTGTTCTAGTAACATTTATTCATCTGAAATGATTGCTTCAGTTGCTGTTTTATTTCTTCAATCTCCCTCTTTAAATTAGTTTTTCTTTGGTTAGATTTGTCTGCTTAAGCATTTCCATTATATTTTTCCTTTTTCTGTATTCCTGTCTGCGTTCTCTTTCTAAGCTGGTTCTCTCTCTGGCTTTACACAAAGGACCACGTGTAAAACAAACTTTATAAGCTTCAGCAGTCAGTTATTTGTTTCCATGTGAGGGATTTTTATTACTTAGAACAGTTCATCGTTCAATATTTGTAAGTTTCATGTTTGCTTTTTCTCACATTAAAATTAATTTATTTAATTTAAATCTCGCTTGATAATTTTTTAAGTTCTATTACGAGTATTGATGTTAGTTTCTCAAACAACTCTTCCACTCTACCACTGGTCTTCACAACAAACAACTCCCAACTCAGCCACTGGTCTTCACAACAAACAACTCTCCACTCAGCTACTGGTTATCTTGAGGTTATCTTGAGATGATTTCGGGGCTTTAGTGTCCCCGCGGCCCGGTCCTCCACCCCCAGGAAGCAGCCCGTGACAGCTGACTAACACCCAGGTACCTATTTACTGCTAGGTAACAGGGGCATTCAGGGTGAAAGAAACTTTGCCCATTTGTTTCTGCCTCGTGCGGGAATCGAACCCGCGCCACAGAATTACGAGTCCTGCGCGCTATCCACCAGGCTACGAGGCCCCTTTTAGGGGGCTGGTCTTCACAACAAACAACTCCCCACTCTGCCAATGGTCTTCACAACAAACAACTCCCCACTCTGCCAATGGTCTTCACAACAAACAACTCCCCACTCAGCCACTGGTCTTCACAACAAACAACTCCCCACTCAGCCACTGGTCTTACCAACTAACAACTCCCCACTCTGCCACTGGTCTTACCAACAAACAACTCCCCACTCTGCCACTGGTCTTCACAACAAACAACTCCCCACTCTGCCACTGGTCTTCACAACAAACAACTCCCCACTCAGCCACTGGTCTTCACAACAAATAACTCCCCACTCTGCCACTGGTCTTCACAACAAACAACTCCCCACTCTGCCACTGGTCTTCACAACAAACAACTCCCCACTCTGCCACTGGTCTTCACAACTAACAACTCCCCACTCTGCCAATGGTCTTCACAACAAACAACTCCCCACTCAGCCACTGGTCTTCACAACAAACAACTCCCCACTCTGCCACTGGTCTTCACAACAAACAACTCCCCACTCTGCCACTGGTCTTCACAACAAATAACTCCCCACTCTGCCACTGGTCTTCACAACAGGTAACTAGACAAGGATACAGTGCCCAGCCCGCCAAGAGGACTAAAGGAAGTCTTAACAAATTAACTAAAGACTTTGGGGACCCAGATTCCTGCCCCAAGGTTTAGAGGAAGATTTGTCGTACAATGATTTATTTTTTCTTTTGGACTTTTGGATCCTTTCAGAAATTATATTTATGTGCCATTAATCAGTGTCCCGCGGCCCGGTCCTCCACCCCCAGGAAGCCCCCTGAGGGTGCTGACTAACACAACCAGGTACCTATCTTGAGGTTATCTTGAGATGATTTCGGGGCTTTAGTGTCCCCGCGGCCCGGTCCTCCACCCCCAGGAAGCAGCCCGTGACAGCTGACTATGCGGGAATCGAACCCGCGGTCTTCACAACAAACAACTCCCCACTCAGCCAGTCTTCACAACAAACAACTCCCCACTCAGCCACTGGTCTATCCAACAGGCAACTCCCCACTCTGCCACTGGTCTTCACAACAAACAACTCCCCACTCTGCCACTGGTCTTCACAACAAACAACTCCCCACTCTGCCACTGGTCTTCACAACAAACAACTCCCCACTCTGCCACTGGTCTTCACAACAAACAACTCCCCACTCAGCCACTGGTCTTCACAACAAACAACTCCCCACTCAGCCACTGGTCTTACCAACAAACAACTCCCCACTCTGCCACTGGTCTTCACAACAAACAACTCCCCACTCTGCCACTGGTCTTCACAACAAACAACTCCCCACTCTGCCACTGGTCTTCACAACAAACAACTCCCCACTCAGCCACTGGTCTTCACAACAAATAACTCCCCACTCTGCCACTGGTCTTCACAACAAACAACTCCCCACTCTGCCACTGGTCTTCACAACAAACAACTCCCCACTCTGCCACTGGTCTTCACAACAAACAACTCCCCACTCTGCCACTGGTCTTCACAACAAACAACTCCCCACTCTGCCACTTGTCTTCACAACAAACAACTCCCCACTCTGCCACTGGTCTTCACAACAAACAACTCCCCACTCTGCCACTGGTCTTCACAACAGGTAACTAGACAAGGATACAGTGCCCAGCCCGCCAAGAGGACTAAAGGAAGTCTTAACAAATTAACTAAAGACTTTGGGGACCCAGATTCCTGCCCCAAGGTTTAGAGGAAGATTTGTCGTACAATGATTTATTTTTTCTTTTGGACTTTTGGATCCTTTCAGAAATTATATTTATGTGCCATTAATCGTTTCAGTTTCAGGAATTCGTCCATAATGTGTGCTCAGTGCCCATCAGGTGGTTATGTCAATTGCAGGATTGTAGTAATAATTAAACTAAGTATGTCAATAACTTTAAGAGTATTTTCTTGCAGATAGATAAATTCAGCAATATACTTTGCAACAAAACAAATTAACTCAGTGATAGTTATATATTAATAAACATTTATTATTGAAATACAAGCAGGAATTAAATACCAGGAATTAAATAATTTTTCAGTGTTTGCTGCACTTTATATTATATAATATTTATTATTTGATTTTAAACTTAGATATTCCCGGCAGGTTTGTGCAACCTGTCCTCTTACAAATTTCGTCTGAATTTGGCCGTTTGCCCGTATGGCCGAAACTGGACGTAATTTGAAAATGAGAAATATTTTAAATAAATTATGATTTTTTTTTCCAAAACAGCAAGTTAAGAGTCCTGGAGTAGGTTAGGAGGGCAGGAAATTCTCATAAGGTTTCAAAACGTTATGAAAACCGTTAATTGAAAGTTCCCTTTCCTAACCTAACAGACTAACCAAGAGGACCCAAACAGAAAGCGGGACAGTACATCACTTTCGTGAGCCGATTGCATGTCAAATTACGTCCTTTTTTGGCCATGGCGCGCATACGAGCGAAAAGCGACGTTATTTGTAAGAGGACGAGTTGCTGTGAGGACAGACCTCCTGTCAGGACCTTCCTCGTTATACACAAGTTTAAACCGCTCAAGGAGAGGATCTACACTATCTACATCATTTAAACAGCTAAAATGTTAATGTCTATTTATTGTGTTCTTTAATAATCTTTATCTTAATTATATAAGTAATCTTTAATTTGTGTAAATTATTACATATCCTGCTCCTTATAGTAGCAGTCTAATTTAAGAGGAAGTGTTAATAACTAAAGTTATAACTACTGTGGGCTCATATGTTCATTTTTACTCAAATTGTTATATTAAAGTTAAGCGAGCAGTGTTTCTGGATTGTTTCTCAGAGCTCTGGAGGTTTGCAGCCATGACATTTTTGTATTAGGAAATAGTTAAACTATATGAAACTGTGAAGATATTGCAATACCCAAGACCTTCTTAATATACGAGATCTGATAATCGTCCAGGACGGACCGAATCATCGTCGTTTCCCATTTTCTGATGTCTGGTTTTGTCATCATGACCGAGAATGAGTATACAACTCCCCAGAAGCTTAAACAGGTCACGCTCAAGGACTTATGTGCTCTCCTGCCACACATACCAACGCTACACACGCATTAGCTCCACAAGCTTTTCCACGTCCAGTGTGAAGCTTCAAATTGTGAAATTTATAAGGAAGATCAGATAAATGTCGACAACAACCTGCTGGATCCCAACGACTGACTATCTCTTATTCGTAAGTACATATATATATTTTCCATTAGTACTATCTTCAACTTAAACATACATGAAAATGATCACAACATGTTTAATAGTTTTGAATATATTAAAGTGTGACTTAATTTAGTGATGCTAAACGGAAAGTACTAACGCTAGGCTATTATTACAATACTAATCAACTTTAAAGCGTTTCTGGTTACCGAGAAAAAACATTTTGAAAGTACGTTAGCAAACGCTTAATTCTCACAAACTCACCCAAATTTGTCCTCAATTTGTTGTTTCATGAAAACATGGAAGTTATGCATCTCCTGGCCTGAGTAGTCCTCCAGCTTGTCCCTGTAAGCAGAGACCACTCTCTCGAGGGGGTGCCGGACGAAGATCAGCTTCCTGTAAGAGGCCAACATTTCCCATTTCGTGTCCTCAAACCTGGGGTGCTCCAGCGTCCACAGGTGTTGGCTGCCATGGACCTCCTCTCTGGGAAACACATAAGGTAATATTGTATAACATGTTCTTCACAATACACTTGTAAATAATGATAACCCAATCCTAATTCCACAGTATTTTTAATCACAACGTAAACGGGAACGTCACATAAGCTTTGCAACCTTTCCCAAAGAGCGCAGAGAACTGTTCCAGCTGTCGTGGGGTACGGTTGTTCTGTCCGGCCACTGCAGTTGTTGTCGACCCGGCGAGGAGTGAGGACCTGGGTGTCGCTGCTGACATGGCTTGTGTCCCGTGTTTTTGCTGAGGGGCCCTTGGGGCCGTGACGGTCTGCAATCATGGGGGGGGGTCCCTGTGCCCCCTGTCACCAGGCAGGCCTCCATTGGCCTGGAGTTCTCTAGGATTGCTTCCTACCACGCGGTGGAGGTGGTAATGATTGATATGCTACGTGTCCCAGTGGAGTCTGTATGTGGTGTGCAGCTGCTTGGCGGACGGCGGGCAATAGTCAAGTTCAACTCCCTGGCAATTTATCAAGGTCTCGTCATGTGCTATGATGGACGCTCATTCGATCTTCCTGGAGATGGTGGGTTGGTGACCATCTCCGACCGTTGTGGAGCCACGACGTATGTGGCAGTGCATGGGATGCCTTTTGTGTTTCCTGAGGATCTCCTACGTCGGTACTTTGCCCGGTTTGGGCGGGTCCTACATGTGAGGATGAATGCTGTCCCTACCGGGAGATTGAAGGAGGTCTCGTGTGGGACCCGCACTCTCGCCATGCACCTCCGGGATCCTGTACCGTCCTCCATCGTGCTGTTGGGGTTCCCGATTCGTGTTTTTCACGCAGGACAACATCAGACTTGTTTCAGGTGCGGCCTACCGGGTCACCTGGCCACAGGGTGTGAGGAGCGCCGGGTCACCCCTGTTAACCTCTTCCAGGAGGAGGATTTTCCCCCACTGTCGGCCCCGGACCTGTCTCAACGTGATGGACCGTGGGATGATTCCTTGCTGGTTTCTGCCCCGGTGTTGGATGGTGGTGTGGATGTTGACGTGGGGGTTGTGGGCAGCCCCGCCCTCACCACTGGCTTCCCCGCCTCCGACGTCCCTGCCCCTGTCGCCCCAGCCCGCCCTGTCTCGGCCGCCCATGCCTGCTCCGTCCCTGCATGCAGCGTCTCCTGTCCCTTTGAATGTTTGTGGCGAGGAGTCTCCTGCTATGTGTGGTCCAGTGCCCCCGGCCATGGAGGCTGCAGTTCTCAGAGGCCGGGCCTTGAAGGCGCGTCCATCGGAGTGTTCTACTGTGTTACGGGATGATGGGGGTGATACTCGGATGACTGGCAGCCCGTCTCCAAGCGCTTGAGGAGGGTCTTGAGTGTGTCTCCCCTTCGTGGGGTGCCTTGGGTGGAGGTGGAAGAGAACGTTGGTCCGGCGTCTCCTGCTGAGGTTGGCGGTGCTGTGGGGGGGCTCTGTGCTGCCTCCGGAGTCGCCCCCTATGAAGACTGATGATGTATCCCCACGGTGGGAGGTTGCTCCTGCCAACCGGGACCTCGTCGTGGTCTTATGGAAGGATGTGCGCCAAGGTGCCTCTGCTCTTGTGCTCGGTGGTGGGGGCCCCGACTCGTCTGTGTCCTCTGCGGGTTCCCCTAGTGTGCAGCCCCGTGTAAAGCCTCGTGAGAGACCTCGTGAGAAGCCTCGTGCGCCGGCCGGTACAAAGCCCTGTGCGGCTCCTGGAGCACCTCCGAGTGCCGATTCCAGTGCGAAATCACCTAGTGTGGACCCCTTCCCTGCGCTCGCGGCCGACGGGGGCGTGGTCCCTCTGTCACGGGTTTTGGACCTCGTTTGGGACGATTTGGTGCGTGAGGGTCCGTGGTGCTCGTCGACTATTTGGGTACCGAGGTTAAAGGGGTTTATTTATGGGGTGCCTGATTGGATGCCTCGGCCTTGTGCGTCTCCTGGTAGACCGGTGTCCGAAGAAGTCCAGCTGGTCTGGGAGGCGTACTGCTTGCGCTTCCCGGCACAGGAGTTTCCAGACAAGTATCGTTAGTGCCTGTGTTTGCTTGTATACTCCATGTCTGTGATTTTGTTACCGTGTCTGCAGTTCTATGTCTGTTTAGTCTCCGTGTTCGGTTTCGCCCTGTTGTACGGTGTGCTTGTGTGTGTGTTCCGAGTGCATTTTTTTTTTGGTTGTGCTGTGCTGTGCGTGTTTTGTGTTCTGTTGCTTGTGTTGTTTCTAGGGCTGTTTGTGTGTCTGTGTGTGTGTGTGTTTGCGGGTTCCTGCCTGTCCGGTTATGACTTCCTGTCTGTCTTGGCTTTTAGTAATGCTTGTGTAGCTTTTCAGGCTGGCTTGTGTTACTAGATTTGTATTTATTTTGTTACATCTCATTCTGTGTCTTTTTCATGTTTCCTGTTGTATGCTTATTTGTTTTTCTGTTTTATGTTTCCTTTCTCTGTTGTTCTCATGTTTGTTTGTGTTTTATGGATCACTGCTTGTGCTGTTTTGCCTAGCTGTTTTTTATGTGTATTTAATGTACTTTATCAATAAAAAGAAAAAAAAATAGGTGCTTTCTTAAGTAACAATTGTAATTACGAAGCTATAAGATGCTTATTTTAACATACTAAGTAGGTTAGGTAAGGTCGGTGTTTTCTATGAAGCTTTTCAAGGGAAACTATTATGTTTAGTATGTCACCTGTGCACGCAACTAATAAGTCAATATTGACTTATTAAATTTGCGAGAACGGGTTGGAAGTGTGGCGCCTTTGTCAGGGAGTGTTTTCACTTGCATTAACCTGACCATCCACCACCTAGAGCGTGTAGGCTGGCGGATCAACATTGTCATCGCCATGTTTGTTACCAGGCGAGCTCACATTAGTGAGGTAGCCTCGCTTAAGCTTCATCTTACACTGCTGCGGGAGAGGGTGGCCAAATGTTCTGGTTTTGACTACTCTGTCCCTCGTCCTGAGCCACTTCAAGAACGGCGTTAATTTGTCCATTTCATGTCCTGTCTAAAAATAGTTATAAATATATTGCCTTATGTATTCTAAAACAGTGGGAAGTTCGGAAACTGAAGACCACAAAAGCACTGATAAATGTTTATGGTAATTATATGCAGTTGCCGTGAACAACATTATGTACAGTGCCGAATAGTCGTGTACGAGACGAGTCAAGCGATCAATCAAATACATGTCAGAGTTTCGGAGATTTATCCATGGACCAAACAATTTGGGTTTATTACTAAAAGCAGGAAAAGTGACTTTCGTGCATTTTGTACATTATGCAGTTGTGACGTGCATATTAGCGGCATGGGAAAAATTGCAGTTGAACGGCACGCTGTCACAGATAAACATAAAGTTAACACTCGTAGAGGCATTATGTCATCACTGCTATCATTTTCCTCCCCGGCCCGATCATATCAGGATGTCACAATGATGGCTGGAGAACTGTGTATAGTTTATCATGCCGTGAAACATCATCTGTCATACACAAATACTGACTGAAGTAAACGTTGACAGAGACATGCGTAGAGACTCATTGATAGTGAAAGGTGTATCATGCGGGAAAACTAAAACAAACGAGGTGTGTGAAACTATTCTAGCATCGTATTCTGTACACAGACATGTGGAATCCATCAGCGAACATGATTTGCCCTTTTCAATAGCAACTGGTGTTTCAAACAATGGTGCAACATTGAGTTTCCTAATATTTCTGAGACACTGTCACTCTGAGAAAGGAATCCAGCACGTCTTGCTTGACTTTTACACTGATAACAGTGAACCATCAGAGGGCTTGTTACATCAGAGGGCTTAACAAGCTTTCTACTATCTAAACGAGAAACGTCAGGTGTGGGTCTGAATAAGGTGTCAGCATACTCCGCTGACAATGTATGTATAAACTATGGAGAAAGCAGCAGCAGTGTTTATCAAAACCTGAAAATTGTTCAAAATAACGATATTGTTGCAAACTGTATGGCTCATATTTGGCACAATGCAACAAAATTTTCTACAGGAAAACTAGAAATTAATGTTGAAAATATTGTCCTCAATCTGTATATCCATTAACAGCACAATTAAAGGAATTCTGTGAAGTTGATAGTTGCAGGTCTGTTGCGACATGTTGCGACTAGATGGCTTTCCTTTTTGCCAACTATTGACAGAACACTTAGGTGCTGGGAGGTCCTAACAAGCTACTTCTAGAGCGTAGGTGAAGAAGAATGTCCCAAGGTGCTATGGAAGTGCTTTGTAGATGAAGGAAATGCCTGTGAATTATCAGAGATCTATTTCCTCTTTCTTACACTCTTAAATTATTCTCAGAAAGTAATTAAGCACTAGAAGCCAAGACATTCAGCATAACTTCAGTATTTAAGGGGCCGTAATGTCCAAAAATATTCAACAAAAATCTAAAATTTTGTAAAATATCTAGGAAAATCTGCTGGAATCTGGCAATACCACTTCGCAGTGGCTGACAGCTTCAACAATATCAGTTCGAGTTTAAGTTATATAAGAGCAATGCGTCCAGGCCCAGGTTGCGCGAGGTCAAGTGAGGATCCTTGTGTTTGGTATTGCTTATGGACAGGCTTCACCTGGCCTTATGAACAGGCTTCACCCGGCCTTATGGACAGGCTTCACCTGGCCTTATGGACAGGCTTCACCTGGCTGTGTGTCACCTTGGTCGTGGGAGTCACCTCAGTGGAAGAGAAGCACTCTAAAGGATCTCAGGGTGGGCCTTCATCAAATATGTTTTACTGAAGGCTTAATAGTGTTAGAGTTCTGAACCGTTTCCGTGCTAAGGCCACTCTATTGGGGTTGTACAATTTAAGAGGGTTTTAAGTAAACACTTCAGTAAAACTTAGCGATGTTCATTGACAAAATGTATGTACTAGAACATAGGATTTATACTGGAATTGATGTCAAATGGTTCACTCGTGGATAATCATGTTTTACCACTGTCTTAGAAACCCAATCAAAAACACATCGTGCCTAGCACTGTTCGTTGCAAAGAAATATGGAAGTTCCTTCGGAATAATTGGGCATTCAGTATAATAACATTGCACATTCAGCAACAATAATGACCTGTGGAGCTGATATGCACCTACATCCACATGTGTTGAGTGTGTAAAATACACATTCACTCTGACAGATTGAACAACATGTGCAACCTGTCAGCTAATCACTTGTTAACCGTTGATCTGTCATAAAACTCGGCCTACCACCTTTTGCAGGCAGGATTAACGCAAATAAATCTCTGGCTGTTCAGGGAGTACTTAAAGCAATGCTGGCCTCACACCTTGACC